GGGACTGAAAATCAAGGCCAAAGCAAATGGCGGTAAAATGAAGACAGCCATTTCATATAAATGATCTGTTCACACAGTGCATGAATTAAAAGCCTCCATTAATAGACAAATAGAAAAGCTTCATGTATTAAAAAACCGAGGATTTTCTGAGACATCCCAAGAAAAATTCACAATGATCAGATAATAGGAAAGTGCTCAAACGATAATAGCTATAATTCTATCAGGAGTAAAGAAAATTTCAGGGACCTAAATACATGGCCGAAGAGTACTGCTCAGCTTATTATTCTAATCAGTTAGTCCAACCTGAAGGGCACAAACTCAGTTACCTGCCTGTCTCCTTTGTCACATTTCAAAATTCCTTTCACTCTTGATAGAATATATTGTGTTAAAGAGCTAAGCACTGGGAATTTTTAACAAACCGTTTTGAAAGGAATGAACTTATTCATCCACATTTTTTTAAACCAGCCTATCACTTAGCATGAAAAATGCTGAAATACCCTTATAATCAGTTACTTTTAATATTTATTTTCTGGGTTATCCAAAGGAAGAAGCTTCTGCCCACTAATACTACCATAGCAGCCCAGTGTGAAAAAAATGGATCAACTTGATCTTGGAGCTAGTACCAAATCCAAGAGACCCGTACAAGTGAAAGAATAAACAATCATCATAAAATTAAAAGGAAAGCTGTACATTTATTTCAAGAACGCTTTCTTGCTATGAAAGAACACAGTAAGATGACCTTCCTTTCCTGGTTAGGCCAAGAGACCAACAGCAGCTAATATTATTATTACTCTCAGCTGTAGAGCATTTCCGACTAAAAAAGAAATAAATATAACCCCCCATTCCCAGGTAAGTGTATATTAAAAAATCTTTAACAAAATTGGGAATCTCAACATAGTCACTGAATAACAGAAAACTAGTACAGGAATTTGATATAAAATTGATCGCTTGAGAGCCCTGACATGGTTGTGGGGTTTTGTTTTCTTTCTTGGTTTAAGGATGGGAGGAAGAGAAAGGACTTAAAAAGGAAGGAACGAATTTTTGAACTTCAAGATGTGGTCAAATTCTTGTAATGACTTTTGAGCCTTTTCAGAGCTCTTTAAACTTAGATGTATTTGTACAAGTACCTTCTACTCTTTTGTTTTTCCTCTGTGTTGGCACTGTAACTCCAGTATGAGGAGCAAAATGTACAACAGAAAGAGATGTTATGACCAAATATCTACACTTGTGAGTAGCACAAAGGTATAAATAGCACATTACACATTAGGTCTTTTGATAAACACACTCTATTTGAATGTGTTTTGTTTGGGAGTTTTTAAGCTCAATAATCAGCACTTACGAAAAGTAAAACTCTTTGTGTAATTAATGGTAATGATATTATACAGAACTTATAATACTCAGGAACTCCTGTTTCCAAGAGTTGTATCAGACTAACTTCTTGTGTTTCTTCCTATAATACAAAGATATCTGAATGATGTATTCTCAAGTTAAATTCTGTTTTAAAGCTAAATCCATGTTAAGGTGAAAAAAAAACTTGGAGTTCCCAGAGAAAACTGGAATTATTTTTATAACATTTGTACTAACGTATCATGTTTCATACAGAACTATATACTAACCACCCACAATGAGACGTGTTCAAGATACTCTTTCAACTTGTACTTTAAATGTCTTGGGTTTTGTGGGTTTTATACCATAACCTTGTTACATAAAATTATTTTTTTATTTCTTTCCATTCCAATATGCTATCATCAATCTACCTGTCTCTCTTTGGAACTCCTCTAAATTTCACAAAAGGAAACAATACTCCCACGTTTGTTTCCATTGGCTCTGGCCTTCACTTCCAACAGTGAGCATAAAGGACAAGTTGTTTCAAAGTGGGCCATCGAGAGAGAATTTATCCCTACCTCAGCAGTAAAAATATTCTATTTTCTTCATTCCTGCCCCTACTCTGAATGTATTCTTGCTGTCAGATGGCTTCCCCTGAATCAAACTTAAGAAATGCTTGACTGTTTCTCCAAATTCATAAGAACGCCATCAAGCATCTGTGTGTAGATCATGTCTGCTTCATTCCAGGTGTCTCACATCTGGTGCTGATCCTGCAGTGACCACTGTAATAAAACAAGAGGAGCCTCTGCCTGGCTTTCATCCTAAATATTCTCTAAAGAGCTCAATGAAAACTTGGACTAGGAATGTGAAAACTGTTAGTTTTTAGGGAGAAGGTTTAAATGAGGAGGCAGTTTGAAGGAGAGCAATAAACATCACAGCTCAGGACATCAAATACCACAACAGGGCTTCATTTCCTTCGAATCACAGATTGCCATCCGTTTTTTATTTTGTCTTACATGGAAAACATTATCTTTCATTGGTAACACCTTTAAGCCAAAGAACTCATATGTAGATGGAGATACAGATACGATTTTATTTTTTGTCCTTAAGTCTGGGAGGGGAGAGAATAGCTAAGCTACTTGTACTTAAGAGCAGATGAGCACTTGGAAGATACCCAAACCCCTAAAATATTATTGCTTTACATGACTAAAGATAAAACTTTTTAAATGACTTTCAATAATTCTTTTCATGTTACGCAGCATCTAACTCAAGTCTGATGACTTCCAAATTTCTTTTCACACCCAGCTTTTAGGGGAGATACAACTGTCACATAACAGTAAATGTGGCTGGCACTGTACAGCTTTCACTGCTTTCAAACCAACTGGTATCTGTACATATAAATGCAAGACACTGACCAGCTATAAATGGGACTATTGAGGTAACGTGGCTGAAGAAGAGGATTCAGTAAAACAAGGGTTACAATAACAGGATGATGATTGAATGTGTGGATTAAGGCAACTTTAAACAGCTTGCCAAAGGAGTGAGTCTTCTTTTTCCATTTTCTTGTGCAGTATCTAATTTCTGGCTCCTCATTTCCTCCGTGATCTGATAATTATGAAATCCTAAATAAAGTGTCATCTTTCTTGCAACAAATCAATGAACAGAAAGCTCCCATCACAATGCAGATGTTTCCTAAAGCTCCTGCTGATTATTTCCTGAATGTCTATCCCACAAACCACACAGCAAGGCCTTTGAGAACAAGGAACCCTCTCTACCCCGTAACAAATACAGCGTCTATGTGTGTGTGCATATGTATGTGTATGTATTTTTAAAAAGGGCTAAGAAATAATATGCAACTGATAACAAGTCACCACAAAATCACCTTTTCTTACCAATTTCAGGTTGAAATTTAGTGATTTCCAAATGCTATGGTACAAATATGAGAAAGGAAAATTCCTACTTGTTGTGTATTTGTCTCTACAAATGCAGTAAAATTGTTTTGCGTTTTTTAACACAGATTTATACCAATAGTACCCCTATATACAAAATTATATTTTGTGCACTCTCTCTTCACATAATACAATTTAAAATAATTCCTCCCCAATAGAAATAGGAAATTTTTAAAAAGAAAAAAATAATTCCATTTTTATTCCTGCTGTAATCCTTAATAGTATAAAGGTCAACTTTGTATTATTAAAAAATAAAGCCCTGGCTGGTGTGGCTCAGTGGATTGAGTGCTACCCTGCAAACCGAAAAGTTGCCCATTCAATTCCCAGTCGATTCCCTGGGTTGTGAGCCAGGTCCCCAGTTGGGGTGTGCAAAAGGCAACCGATCAATGTATCTCTTGCACATTTATGTTTCTCTCCTGTGTTTCTCCCTCTCTTCCCCTCTCTCTAAATATAAATCAATAAAATCTTAAAAAAATAAAAATAGAAAAGTCTATGGATTACTAACTAAGCCTGCAGGTTCACAACTAAGCCTGAGCTTATCTACTAATAGAGAACATTATGAAGAAGTTTGTTTTAAACACTCTTCCAGCCTACCAAATATTACAGATACTCTCGCTCTTGAAAAAAGCTCCCATCTTCTGCATTCTGTTTGTTTCAATTATTCAGGGCAACCCAGGCTGATAATTACACAGTCCCCAGTTGCTGAGTAAAAGCGATGCTTAATTAGCCAGCAGGAAAGATCGATTAAGATCCAGCAGGACATCTTGTGAGGTTCTCTCACATTCCTGGAGGGAATAGATTCTGGCTGTGCCCTTTGAAAGGATAAAACTCCCTGCTTCTAAGGAGTTTCAATGAGGTTTCTAAAGTAGATGCTAAGGTCGGTCAGCCACACAAATTAACTCCCAGTTATAACCCTGCAGATGCTCTCCGTTTTCCAAGAGCACTCAGATCAAACATTCTGAATCACATTGCCACCAGGTTGGCAAAGGTTTAAAGTAATGCTCACTTATCCCCACCTCTCTCGCAGTTGCCAAGCTTGAAGTTAAGAGGTGGTTGAGAAGTATATTGTAAAGGATAGCTTTCATTTCTTCCTCCCCCATTCAGGTGTATGCATCTATCAGATGCTCACATCCTAAAAGGCACAAATTAGGTTAGGGCCGCTTATTAAACAAAACTTAACACGATATCCCAACCCGGGCTGAGATTAAAACATTCCAATATTGTCAAAGGATTAACTGGCTAAGTCTGGTTTACATTTTTTACTAAGAAAGATGTGGAAGTACAATCAGGATCAAAAATCACACAGAAAATTAATAATCTCACACTGGCCTAACATCTTCCCTTCAGTAACTTGGACAAGCACCAATGTTTAGCTTTTCATACATTTTTGCAAAAGTGGCTAACATAATCCAAAGCTAAAAGCAGAATAACTATCTTAAGATACATAATTATCAAAATATTTCTATTTTGTTAAACTGCACTGACTATACCTGCTTACTTCCAATTTAATTCAGTAAATATTTATTAAGCTTCATGGGAATGGCTACCTTATCTTGCATTTCAATAAATAAATAAACACAAAAATATTCATTACACCTCTGTCAAGTATAGAGAACTATGAGGTATGTCTTACCTTGTTAATTTATACACTAGTAAAGTAGATTTTACAGATTATAAACTGTTTTAAAGCTTATGAAGAAGAACAATGGAACCGTTTATACAAACCTAGTTTTGATTTGCTGAAAGCCCCGAAGAATGTGGTCTCTGTGGTCCCTTGCAACAGCACTGAGGTTCTCATTCCTCAAATCTTCTGCTAGAAACTCCTCAGCATCTAAAAGAAAAGGAAAGTTAATCAACAGAAAAGAAGTACTAAGGGAAAAAGAAGAAATATGAAGAATTAAGAAATCAATATTATTTTCTCTTTAAAAACTTTAAAGTTGCAGAACAATGGGAATGTACTTAATTCCATAGACCTGTATACTTAATAATGGTTAATATGGTAAATTGTATATTATGTATATTTTATCAAAATGAAAAATAAATAATACTTTATATGTGCCTATAATTGACACCTTTTGATAATCGAAGACATTGCTATGAGTTTAGAAAGTTAATGCATATATTAATAAGAAAAAACTATTTTCTAAACTGTTTCAAAGGAATATTTAAGTAGTAGCATTGATGGCAAAGAATGGACTATCATTTTCATAAACATATAAATAGTACAAACAATTCATGAAAGGTCACAGGCCAATGGGAGCTAGAAAAAGTACCAATAAATAGAGCTGAAATGAAAAGCAGAGCTGAACTGCAAAATCATGAACAAAAAGGGCAGGCATTCGAAGAAGAAAAATTACCTAGCAGATGCATCATCAATGAAAATGACAATGCAACCAAATGAAGGAACCCACATGGAAAAGAAAAATGTGTCCAAGAGAAGAAAACTGCAATTAATGTGAGTATATGTTATAAAATAAGGACATGGTAGAAATATATAATATAAAACAAATCATGCTATGTTGAAAGAAATTGGGGGTGGCACCTGTTAAATTTTCAAAGACAAAATACATTGATAATGATTACAATTGCCAGACATACTAGCTACACACTTTATTATGCATAAATATGTTATCATCCCTAAAAAAGCATATAAATAATGTAATTAAAATTTTCCACTTCCAAAAATAGTGCCTATAATATGAAACTGTATCATATATGCTATCAAAATAATGTTAAAATGTATACAGTTGGGTTATATAAGCACACTTAAAAATCTGTTTTACATTCATACCATTCTACACCACCAAACAAAAAAATCCTAGGTAGCCATCACCAACATTTTTAATGAGGTATAAGATTCTGAAAATTAAAATTTTCACAGAGGACCATCATCCACTTCTAAGCCTTGCATCACATCTATTGCATATGTCATTTAGTGGGTTCCTTCAAGGTCCTTGAATGAATGAGGAAATGGGAAGTTAAATTAAAAGGTAAAAGTAAATGGTATCAAAAATTCAATTAACGTAACCTACCATATTAACAGAATAAAGAACAAAGACCACATGATGACCATATCAACAGACAAAGAAAAAAAACATTTGGCAAAATTCAATAGCTCTTCATGATAAAAATCATTCAACAAACTAGGAATAGAAGAAAATTTTCTCAGCCTGATAAACAGCATCTCCAAAAACCCCACAGCTAACATCATACTTAATAGTAAAAGACTGGATGCTTTCTCCCTGTTCCTAAGGTCAAGAACAAGATAAGAATGTCTGTTCTCACCATTTATACTCAACATTGTACTGGTGCTAGCCAGGACAATTATGTAACAAAATAAAACTGAAAGAGTCTAGATTATAAAGGAATAAGTAAAACTATCTCTACTTGCATATTAATTGGTCTTGTATATAGAAACCCTATGAAATCTACTAAAAAACTATCAGAACTCATAAACAAGTTTAGTAAGTTTGCAGAATACAAGATTAATATACAAAAATCAACTGAATTCCTTTATAGTAACAATGAACAAACTAAAAATGAAATTAGGAAAAGTCCATTTAAGATAGCATAAAAAATAATTAAAAAATATATAGGAATAAATTTAACAAAAGAAGCACAAAGATTATGCTCAAGCTCTGAAAACTACAAAATGTTATTGAAAGACATAAAAGACCTAAATGGAAGGACATCCCATGTTCATAGACGAGAAGACATAATATTGTGAAGATGGCAATATTCCCCAAATTGATCTAATGATCTAATGCAATCCCTATCAAAATATCAGCTGGCTTTTTTTTTTTTTGCAGAAATTGACAAGTTGATCCTAAAATTCATTTGGAAAGTCAAAAACCCAGAATAACAAAAACAATTTTGAAAAAGAAGAATAAATTAGGAGGACTCACATTTTCTGCTTTCAAAATTTACTAAAGAGCTACAGTAATCACGACAATATAGAACTGGCAGAAAGACAGACATATAGATCACAAGAATAGAATTGTGGGTCCGGCAGAACTAACACTTGAGTGTGGTGGGTCAGGTAATAATATGGGTGTAATAATTTAAAGTTTAATTTGAATATTTCACATAAAATGTCATATGGTGTGTGCTTGAGTGTGATAGTGTTATATTACAGAATTACATGCTTATGATTTTGTAACAAAAGATTTTGTAATAAAAAAGGGTGTTATTTGTGCTGGACCCTGTATAAGTGAAAATTGTGGGAAATATAAATAGAAATTACTGAAAAATTATAATGTCACTACTAGTATTTGATAGCTCAAATGGACAAATTATATAATTATATAGGTCAGTTATGTCCAATGGAACTAAAATAATTACACATGTAATTTTAAATTTTCTAGTAGCCTCATTTCAAAAAGCACCCCAAAAAGAGATGACGTTAATTTTAGTGACAGTTTTTTATTTAAGTCAATAGGTCCAAAATATTTTCATTTCAATATGTAACCAATATAAAATTATTATTGAGATATTTTACTTTTTTTGCATTAAATCTTCAAAACCCAGTGCACGTTTTCCACTTAACATCACATATCAGTTCAGATCAGTTACATTTCAAATGCTTAATAACCACACGTGGAGAGTGGCCACTACAATAGATAGTGCAGATATAGAGAATTTAAATAATATAAATAAAAAGATGATAGAAGTGAACTAAATTCTGTAATCTAAAAATAGAATACACCTTTTACAACCAGCATAGAAAATTTATAAAAACTTATTAAGCACTGGCTTACAAAGAAACACCAGTAATTTCTTAAAAGCTCAAAATTAGAAAGATCTTATTTTATGACCACAATGAAATAAAACCAGAACTTACAATTAAAAAGAGTAGACAAATCCACCTACATGCAGACGTTAAAAACACACTCCTACCTATAATGTGGGTCAAAGAGGAAACTCAAAACTATAATTACCACCTATTGAGAAAATAGCCTTTATAAAATATTATATGATGAGCATTGTACAGAGTGACAAATTCGTAGACTTAAATTTTTCCATTATTAAATAAGAAAAAATGAAAATAAATTCAGTAAGCACCAAACTCAAGAAATCAGAAAAGAGCAATAAAACAAGCCTATGAAATAGAGCAGGAAGGAAACAATAAAGATAAAAGCAAAATTAATAAATCAGAACAGTGGTTGCCTAACAGTGCTCTCTAAAGTCATAAGCTTCTGATAAGGAAGAAAAGGAGTGGGGGTGTAGGTCAAGTGAGTGGGACTCTGAGAAACTCCCTCCTTTCCCCTCACTCCCATTTGCTTTAATCACAAGCACTTTTGTCTATTTATACACTGGAATTTCACATAAGAATTTAATTTTGAAAAGAGTTCTATTGCAAAACTCAGTGGTTAAAAAAACCACTGAACTTAAAAATAGTGGGAAAATAGTATAAATGCTAAGTAAATGTAAGAGCTGGGATTTTTTCAAAGGTGAGGGGGAATTCCAATAAACTGATAAACCATTAGCAAATGTAATCAAGTAAAAAGAAAGCACAAAAACAAGGCAGAATAAAGGGGAATAATGATAAATACACAGAAATTTAAAAGATCATGAAATACTTCATAATGGTGAGATTTCAAGTTACTTAAATTTTATTTATGCTTCTATGTACAATTTGAGTTTTATGACAGCAGGTATCATTTTTCCCACTTAAAAGGTCATTCTAAAAAATAAAGTGTTATATAAACAAAATAAAAAGTCATGCAAATAAATTTGAAAATCTCAATGAAACACTTTCTGAGAAAAATATAAATTTCTAAAACTGAATTCAGAAATGGAAAACTAGAATCCTGAGTAGGCTAATAATGATTAGGGGAAAAGAAGAAAAGGTTATGAAACTGTTTTAAAAAATTCAGATTCATATAGTTTTATAGATGTCTTTCATAGCATATAAAGCATCCCAGAGCACAGAAAAGAGAAAGCTTCTTAAATCATTTGGAAAAAGTAGCATAACCTTGGTTCTAAAAGAATGCAAAAAAGAATCAATTTAAAGCTAATATAAATCAAAAAGCCTAAATCAAGTACTAGTAGATCAATCCTGGGGAAAAGCAACAACGCCACCCTCTGGACTCTCTGTAGCCCCACCCTGCAGAGCTTGCACCCTGCTGAGGAGTCTGCTGCCTGGGTTGGGGTGTAGAGGTCTGGGCAGACACAGGGCATGTCAGTGACTGAGTAGTGTTGCTTTGAGGTGGGGGCCATTTCCCCCACTGTCCTGTGAACCTGACTGGTGCCTTCCCCTCACTGGAGTTCCACTACCCCCACCCTTCCAGCCCCAGTGGTGCCACCCTCCCAACTCCTGGTGGCTCTGCCCTGCTGAAGTCTGGGCAGAATCCAGGACACACCGAGTTGTGTGGCTCTGGGGCAGGGGCTACTCCTCTCTCTTCCCACCAAGCCTGACCTGCACCCCCCCCTTTAGCCCAGTGAATTTCAGCCTTCTTCATCTCATGGCACACATAAACTAACTACTAAAATTATGTGGCACATCGAAAAATGTTTTCTGTCAATCTGACAAAAAAATAGGTATAATTTTGATTGGTTTACAAAAAAAATAATAATAGTAATTACCTACCCTTTTGGCTCCAAAGTGACTTTTTTTATAAAAACCAGGTGCCTATACTTGTATAAAGGGATTTCTGTTATCAAGAATTTAACAATTACACACAAACTTATTATGCAACATGACCATTAAGGTGCAACTCTATCATATGACCTCTATATTTATGGTTCAAGACAGGGCATTCACCCTGGACAGCTACTGTTACGTTGGCTGTTGGTATTTTTTTAATTTGACAATCTAAGAGAAAAGAGGTC